ACTACTACTACTACTACTACTACTACTACTACTACTACTACTACTACTACTACTACTACTACTACTACTACTACTATTACTACTAGTACTGCTGCTGCTGCTGCTGCTGCTGCTGCTACTACTATGACTGACTATGACTATGGCTACTATTATGATGTTTGCAGTGGCTACTACATTGACTAAGACTACTACTATGGTGATTACTGTGGCTACTATGATTAACATTGATTATGACTACTACTATGGCGATTGCTATGGCACTACTATGACTGATACTGCTGTTATGGCGATTACAATTGTTTCTACTATGATGAATAAGACTTATGGCGATTGCTATGGCTACTACTATGACAGACTACTACCGTGGCGATTACTTTTACGATTGCTATTGTGGCTATGACTACGACAACGACTGCTACTATGACTATGACCATCTCTGTTGTTGGGTCTCCTTTTCCTTTGTTTTTTCTATCTTTTATTTATTTTTTGTCTTCTTTTCCTCTTTGCCTTTCTCAGCATTCGCCTTGTCTTTTAGTTTATGCAAATGCTATATTCTGTCGTCCTTGATAAATGCGTTTGTCCTCGTTTGCTATGTTTCTTGTTTATCTTCTGTTTCAGCTATTGTTTCTTTTATTTTGTTATTATTTATTTTTATTATTTTTTGCTTCATATTTATTCGTTCTTTGGTTTTAACCGGCCTTTCTTAGTGCAGGTTTGTGATGTTTATTTGCGTTCGTGTTATTTTCTGAGTGAGCGCTAACTTTTGCTTTTATTATTGAAGAGAAGGATAGAGAATATTCCGAAAATGAAATATAAAAATATGCATCGCCTACTGTTGTCGTTTGTTTGTTTCAGTATTCGTTATTTATTTATCCTTCTCACGCATTCGCTCCATTGTGTACGAGAGCCCGCGCTTTCACAGACAAGTGAAGGGAATAGGATAATTATTCACTCTCGGGGCGGGACAAGGAAGCGTCAGGTGTCGAGCGTGGGTGGGGAGGGGCGGGAGGGAGGGGAGGGAGGGGAGGGGGGGGGCTGAGGCGAGGGAGGGAGAAGGGAGGGCTGTCTTCCTTCGTTCCTTCTCGCCGAGGGAGGATTTCTCGGCGTAGGAATACTGGGTTGTTATTGTTTGTTTTTATGATTTTGTTTATTTGTTTATGTGTTATTGGTCACGTGGTCTTGGGACGCGATATTGTGGATTTAGCGAGCTTGTTATTCTATAATCTCATTTGTTTATATTTGTTTTCTCACTTTTTTCTCTGAGTGGCGAGCAATGCTTCAAAGTTCCACCTTTCTTCCTTTTTATGTAAGTTTGTGTGTGTTTCATTTAATCTTATATTTTGGATTAGAGAGTTTTTTTTTTTTTTTGCAGAGTCAAACCTAGAAACGGATAATTTGACGCATCGTCCATCACAGAACAAATAAAGTGTTTATGAATATATTCCTTCTCACCCGTAAACTATTTTTATTCCAAGTACCTTTGAGAGCGGAGAAGCGAAGTGCAGTTGGAGGCACAAAGACCCCGGGTTTCCCTCTTGGCTGTGCGCGGGGAGACTAGGCCCACTCGCACGCACGCACGCACGCACGTCATCGCGGCGGCGCGGCGGGGTCATCGCTCACTCGTGGCTTTCTTTTTCCCTTGCTCTCTCTCTTTCTTTCTCTCTCTTTCTCTCTCTTTCGCTCTCTCTCTCTCTTTCTCTTTCGCTCTCTCTCTCTTTCTCTTCTCTCTCTTTCTCTCTCTTCTCTCTCTCTCTCTCTCTCGCTCTCTCTCTTCTCTCTCTCGCTCTCTCTCTCGCTCTCTCTCTCTCTCTCTCTCTCTCTCTCTCTCTCTCTCTCTCTCCTCCTCTCTCTCCTCTCTCTCTCTCTCTCTCTCTCTCTCTCTCTCTCTCTCTCTCTCTCCTCTCTCTCTCTCTCTTCTCTCCCTCCCTCTCCTTTCCCTCTCCTCTCCCTCTCCATCTCATCTCCCCTCCCTTTCCTCCCCTCTCCCACCCTCCCTCTATCCCTATCTGTTTATCTATATCTATTATTTTCTCCCTCCCTCCCCATCTTTCCCTCTCTCTCCTATAGACCCCCCCCCCCCCCCTCCCTTCACAGCCGTATATGGAATCGGCGTCTACACCCGTGTGTGATAAGTTGTGTGCGTCAGTTTGGCGGTGATGGGAGGAGAGGAGGGGGAGAGTGAGAGGGGAGGGAGGGGAGGGGGCGAGGGGGGACGGGGAGTGAGAGGGGAGGGAGAGTCGAGGGGTGCCTGAGAATCGAAGGGATAGTCCTGAGTAGACCTATGCATAGTGGAGAACTCTTGGGGGGGGGGGGGGGGATAAGGGGCGTTTCTCCTGAGGACGGGGAGGGAAGGGTGGGGGTTGATATAAAGAGAGATTTTTTTTTTGTGTGTGTGTGTGTGTCTGTCTGTCTGTCTGTTCTGGTCTGTCTGTCTGTCTGTCTGTCTGTGTGTGTGTGCTTGCTTGTAATCAAGGAGAATGAGGATTCGATTCTGAAAGGAGGGAGGGCGAGGCAGCAGCAGCACTCCTCATTTCTCGCTGGGGTTGAGAAATAGAAAGAGGAAGGGAGGAAGAGGAGATGAGGAATAACACGGAGAAGAGGAAGAAATAAGAGAAGAAGAAGAAGAGAAGAATGAATAATAAATAATAATAATGGTGATGATAATAATGATGATGATGATGATGATAATAATAATAATAATAATAATAATAATAATAATAATAATAATAATAATAATAATAGTGATAGTAATAATAATATAATAATATATAATAATAATAATAATAATAATAATAATAATAATATAATAATAATGATAATAGTGATAATGATAATAATAACAATAATAAGAGGTGAAAGAGGAAGAGGAGGAAGAGGAGGAGGATGCGCACCGCCCCATCCCGTCTCGTCCGAAGGAATCATTAATCACAGTCCAGCGTCCTCACCTCCGACCGCAGCTCCGAGAGCGCCGCGACGTCCACTCGGAGGAGCTAATTTCCTCAAGGGCGCTCGCTGTCTGGGGGAGGATGACGAGGATGTGTGGTGGGAGGGGGGGGAGGAAAGAGAGGGGAGGGAGGGTGGGAGGGAGGGAGAGGGAGGGAGGGGAAGGGAAGGAGGGGGAGGAGGAAAGGGAGGCAGGGAGGGAAGGGAAGGGAGGGAGGAGGAGGGAGGGAGGAAGGAAGGAGGAGGAGGGAGGAAGGAGGGGAGGAGAGAGCTGCCGATTGCCTTGGTTGTCTCGGTGTGGTGGTGAGGTGGGAGGATGTCGGGCGGAGTTTTTTGCATTTCTGAAATCTATCTCTGTGTGTCTCTCTCTCTCTCTCTATCTCTCTCTCTCTCTTTCTCTCTCTCTCTCTTCTCCCTGTCTCTCTCTCTCTCTCTCTCTCTCTCTACTCTCTCTCTCACACTCTCACACTCACTTACACTCTCACACTCACTTACACTCTCACATCTCACACTCAACCTACACTCTCACACTCACTTACACTCACTCTCATTCACTCCACTCTCATACTAACACGCGCGCGAACAAACAAACTCGGTGATGGACAGATGCACGTGTAAGCACGCCGAATAAACATTGCACAGTACCGTGCTTTCAAAACCACCATGACGTAAGCGGCGGGTGACGATGGCAGCGCCTTAGACAAGCATCGAAGGGCTGGCTTATCAATCATCTTACTCATCTTTATTACATGTTACTCTGCCCACCCCCAACAACAACAACACGCACAGCCGCACGCACGCACGCACATCTCAGCAGTGTGTGTAAAGGAGAAAGAGTAGCGTGTTTTCTCAAGGGTATTGCGAGAGGGGGAGAGGGAGGGGGAAGGAGAAGAGGGAAAGGGACGGGGAGAGGAGAGGGAGAGGAAGGAGAAGAGCGAAAGGGAGGGGAGAGAGAGAGAGAAGACGAGGGCTAGGGATAAGGGGAGAGGGAGAAAGAGGGAGGAAGGGAGAGATATAGAAATAGAGATTAAGTGAGAGTTTGTTTGTCTGTGCGCCTATTTGTGCGTGCGGTTTTGTTTGTGCTTGAGGGCCTGTACCTGCTCAGACATATGGGTACGTACAGTGCAAAATCTACGATGACCTTGCATACAGTATATATGTAACGTCACAGGCAGCCTAAAGAGGCAATAAATGAGTGATTGTGTATGGACGTGTAAGTGCGGGTACGGATGTGACAGTGTTATCAGAAATTGTCCTTACGGCGGAGCGAGAGAATAATTCCTCACAGTTGCCAAATAAGGCTTGACACAGCGCTTGATGATCCGCCAGGGACCTCTCTCTTGCCTGGCGTCATGCTGATGGCGAGGGCATGGCCGCGTCATGCATGCCCTGTTGATGGTGTTGTCTCGGTCAAAGAATTACTGTTTTTGCTGCCATGAGTCGGTTTGTTGTTTCCTCGCCTCTAGGTTTGCCTGCAGGATTAACCGGGATGTTTGTGGGTGAGTTGTCCATGGCTTTGGGGTCAGCTGATTTGGGTAATGAACTAATTTCGCTAACGGATATGAGATACAATGCATCATAGAAAATGGGTATCTTTATATTATCTTCCTTTTAACATTACGATGAACTTGTGTGATTCAATACGGTTATTTTTGTATTGTTATTGTTATTAGTATTAGTATTGGTAGTGAGAGTAGTAGGAGTAGTGATAGTATGATTATCATTGATGATATTAATGCTAGTAGTGTTTATATTGTTATTATCATTATTATTATTGTTATATATATTATTATTGTTATTGTTTTTTATCGTTATTGTTACGATGCAATAATAATTCAACATCGCAACAATAATTAGTCCGGTTACTGCTGCGCGCCTTTAGTCATTGAGGCCATAAACCGTCGAGGAAGACACGATAATCACGCGCGTCGGGAAAGCCAAATATGGACACAAGATAAGCGAGATAACAGGTGATACATAACGAGGCGAGCGGGAACAACAGGTATATATTGGCGTCCGCTTATCGAGTGTTGGTTCAGCGGCGGACTCAGCTGGACCGTCTGTCTGTCTCCGGTGGCGATTGGCACTTAGAGGGAGACAGGGAGAGAAAGCCGAATCATTTCCGTTATTTTTTATTTACTTTTTTTACTCGTGTGGATTCTAACGCGCTGGTTATTCAATATGTAAGTTGGAGTGTGTCCCTGGGACGGGTGAAGGAGGGTGTTTTCTTTTCTTTTTGTTTTTTTGGTTATTGATCTTATTTTTATCTTTGTTGTTATTGTATTATTATTGTTGTTGTTGTTGTTGTTTTGTTTTGTTATTACTATTACTTTTGTTATTATTTATTGTTATTACTACTATTATTGTATTGTTATGTTATTATTACTGTTACACTTATTATTATTATTATTAATTATTATTATTATGAATCATTATTACTTTTTAACTGAACCTAAAATAGGGAGGATTTTGAAACGAATATTTTTTTGCATATCTTTGGAAGCTGTCGATTCCAGTTGTTAAATATTCTATAGACGAGTTGAATGTAAAACAGATTCATAATGTGGACAAAATCATAATTTCCTCCGGAAATGTTTCCTTTTTCATGTTATCTTGCTGGTGGCGAATCCGTGATGGTTTTGTGCCATTTAAATGTTCAGCTGTTCAGCAATTTCGTCCTTTTTCTTCTTCTTCTTCGTTGTTTCTTGTTCATCGTCTTTTCGTCTTCGTCTGTTTTTCCTTCTTCGTCTTCGTCTGTTTTTCCTTTTTTGATTGTTTTTTTTTATGTGTTTCGAATTTTCGGTTTCTGTCAAAAAGATTCACGATTTCCCCCCATCGCACCGCCTGGACTCCGAATGCCCGTTGTCCATTGTGCCGACCACGCCCCCCCCCCCCCAAAACTTTCCCCGTGGCATTATTCATCATTTTTTTTCTTTTCCTATCCATTCATTCTCATTCGCGTTGTTTTTTTTTTTTTTTTTTTTTTTTTTGCCGCGGATATGTCCCTGCGTGTACTTCCGATATTGATTTTTTGTGTCGTCGAATTTTTTTTTTTTTTCCCCATTTTCCGATCGACGTTTTTGTAATCGGGTGACGTTTGTATTTTAGGAGAGTGGTTCGTTTATAGCTCAGGTTGTTATCTTATCTCTAAGTGGGAGGAGAGAGAGAGAGAGGAAGGGAGGGAGAGAGGGTAGGGAGGGAGGAGGAGGGAGGGAGAGAGGAAGGGAGGGAGAGGAGGTGAGGAGGGAGAGGAGAGGGAGGAGGGAGAGAGGGAGGGAGGGAGAGAGGGAGGAGGCCAGAGAGAGGGAGGGAGGAGAGAGGAGGGAGCGTGAGAGAGGAGGGAGGGAGGAGGGAGAGAGGGAGGGAGGGAGAGAGGAAGGGAGGGAGAGAGGGGAGAGAGGAGAGGGAGATAGAGGGATGGAGGGAGAGAGGAGAGGGGGGAAGAGGGAGTGAGGGAGAGAGGAGAGAGGGAGGCGAGGGAGAGGAGGGAGGAGGAGAGAGGGAGGGAAGGCGAGAAGAGGGAGGGAGGGAGATGAGGGAGGAGGAGGGAGGAGGAGAGGGAGGGAGGAGAGGGAGGGAGGAGAGAGGAGGGAGGAGGAGAGGCGAGGGAGGAGAGAGGGATGGCGAGGGAGGGAGGGAGAGAGGGAGGAGGAGAGGGGAGGGAGGAGAGAGGAGGCAGAGAGGAGCGCGAGGAGAGAGGGAGGCGAGGAGAGAGGGAGGGGGGGGAGAGGCGAGCGGAGGGAGAGAGGGAGGGAGGAGGGAGGAAGAGGGAGGAGGGGGAGAGACGGGAGGGAGGGAGAGAGGAGGGAGGGAGAAGGAGAGAGGGAGGGAGAGAGAGAGGGAGGAGGAGAGAGGAGGGGGATGGAGAGAGGGGAGGGAGGGAGAGAGAGAGAGGAGGTAGGGAGGGAGGGAGCGAGGGCGAGGGAGGGAGAGAGAGGGAGAGGAGGGGAGAGGGAGAGGGAGAGGGAGAGTGAAGTGAGAGGGAGAGAGGAGAGAGAGAGACGAGCAGAGAGAGAGAGAGAGGAGAGAGATGAGGAGAGAGACGAGAAGAGCAGAGAAGATAGAGAGAGAGAGAGAGAGAGAGAGAGAGATGGAGAGAGAGAGAGAGAGTGAGGACGGGAGGGGGGAGGGTAGAGAGGGAGGAGAGAGAGAGAAGAGAATGAGAGCGAGGGGAGAGAAAGAGAGAATGAGAAGAGAGCAAGAAGAAGGAGAGAGGTGGGCAGGGAAGTGTTAGACAGCCATTACCGGAGTTCGCTTTAAAAGATGCCCCCGTCAAGAACGTTAAAGATACGAGACTTATCACTTTTACCTTTCCTCCGATTTTTCTTTTTTCTTTTTTTTTAATCTCGTGGTGTTTCCGCTCAGCAGCCTTTTCCTGTCGTCGGTGTGCACCCGCTGCCACCTTTTCCTGTCATCAAAATGCTCCCCTTTTTGTTAGTCTGTCTGTACCTGTGTGTCTCCTGCTCGCATTTATCGCTTTTTGTCGTGTTTAATGGCAGTTCCTTTTGAAAGTCTTCTTGTTGCAATTGCTTCGTCAGATTTTTTTTTTTATCGTGTCTATTATTCTTCCATATCCTCCGTTTTCTTCTCTTCGTTTCTTAATCCACTTTGCTCTCGTATCTCTTCATTTTCCTTTCTTCCTCTCTTCATCCTTTTGTACTTTCTCTTCTGTCCCATACCTTCCTCCCATCGCATTTCCTCCTCCCTCCATACCTCACTCCCTCCGTACTTTCTCTTCCTTTCCCCTCCTTTCTCTTCCTCCTTCTCTCTCGCTCTCGCCCGATTCTCGCCCTCCTTCTCTTCCTCGCCCCCCATTTCTCTCCTTTTCCCCCTGCATTCTCTTTTTCATCCCTCCTTTCTTTTTTTCACCCCTCCCCCCCCTTCCTTTCTCTTCCTCCCTCCCTCCCTCGTCTCTGTCGTCTTCTCTCCCTTCCTTTTCCCCCCGACCTTCCCTCCCTTCAGCCTCACCGCCGAAGGGCCTATTACGCTTACAACTTCCACGATTGATTGTTGTTGTTGTTGCCTGCCTCTCCATCCGGGACTTTCACTGTGCGGAGGCGGCCGTGACACGCGCGTTCAGGCTTCCTCCGAAGAGGTCAGCGGGAACGATTTCTTGACCTGGGTCGCGGGGTCAAGGCGGAGGCAGCTGCGCGTTTAGGGGGGGGGTGGTGGTAAGGATAGGGTGACAGGGAGAAAGGGAAGGAAGAAGAGAAGGGAGAGAAGGTGGGAGGAAATACAGGCGAGGGGGGTAGAGGAAGGGAGAGAAGAGGCATTTAGGGTATTTAACCCTATCTATCTATTCATCTATCTATCTATCTCCGTCTATCTTACGAACATACCTCTTATAAACACGTGTCTCGGGTACAAGATTCGAAATTTGCGCGTCCCCCCCCCCCACGGGGTGCCGATTTCACAGTCACCCACTCCGTATTCCCATCTTCGGTCAGCTGATCTCTCGCTCCTTTACTGATAAGGGACGATATCGATAGGCAGATTCCTTAGAATCGAGGGTTAGAGAGGAGATGATTGGAGTCTTCAGAGAGAGAGAGAGGAGAGTGAGAGAGAGGAGAGAGAGAGAGAGAGAGAGAGAGAGAGAGAGAGATGAGAGAGAGATGCAGAGATGGGAGAGAGAGAGAGAGAGGAGAGTGGGAGGGAGGAGGTCAGGGAGGGAGAGAGGGAGGAGGAGAGAGGGAGGAGGCGAGAGAGGGAGGGAGGAGAGAGGGAGGGGGGAGATAGGGAGGGAGGCGAGGGAGGCGAGGAGAGGCGAGGGAGGGACGAGAGGGAGGCGAGGAAGAGGGAGGGAGGGAGAGAGGGAGGGAGGGAGGAGAGAGAGGGAGGTGAGAGAAGGAAGAGAGAGAGAGAGTAGAGAGAGAGAGAGAGATGAGAGAGAGAGAGGAGAGCATGAGAATGTGTGTGTTGTGCCCGTGTGTGTGTGGTGTGTGTGTGTGTGTGTGTGGTGTGTTGTGTGTGCAGAGAGAGATAGAGAGAGGAGAGAGACGAGAGAGAGAGAGAGAGAGAGAGTGAGAGAGAGAGGCAGAGAACACACCAGAGAGAGAGAGAGAGAGAGAGAGACGAGAGCAGATGAGATCCGAGAGATAGAGAGAGAGAGAGAGATGAGAGAGAGAGAGAGAGAGAGAGAGAGGGGGGGAGCTGATTAGCACCAAGGTTGATCAGTTTCGCTGTATGAATGGTCGACTTTATAATAAATTGATTCCGTCGGGCCGTAATTATCTGTAATTCACATTTGTAACATCCGCCGACCCTGGCTGGCAGGAAGCACTCGCTGTCTCTTTATATCTCTCTACCAACCTATCTGTCCATCCATTCATTCACTCACTCACTCCCGTTCATTCATTCATTCATTCATTCGATTCATCATTTCATCATCCCATTCATCCGTATCTATCCATCCATCCATCCGTTCATGAATCAACCAAGCAGTCAATCTTTCTATCCATATATCCTTCCAGACCCTCCCCACCCTTCTCCTCTCTCTCTCTCTCTCTCTCTCTCTCCTCTCTCTCTTCTCTCTCTCTCTCTCTCTCTCTCTCTCTCTCTCTCTCTCTCTTTCTTTCTCTCTCCCCCCCCCCCCCCCCCTCTCTCTCTCTCTCCCCCTCTCTCTCCCTCCCTTCCCTCCATACCTCCTTTCGTTCCTCTCTCCTCCCTACCTTCCCCTTCGTTCCTCCCTCCCTGTTCCTCCCTCCGTTCCTCTTTCCCTCCTCCCTCCGCTTCCTCTTTCGCCTCCCTCCCTAACCTTCCCTCCCTCCCTTCCCTCCCTCCCTCCCTTCCCTCCCTCTTCCGTTCCCTTCTTTCACTCCTCTTTCTTTCATTCATTTTGCTACGAGTCAAGCCAAGGAAATTGATTTACACGCAACGGAAACGATCGCCTCCGTGGTGATTGGGGACGTCGGTTTACAATCAGTCTTCGGGTCGGTGGGTCGGTTATGGCGGTGTGGTCGGTGTCAAGGACGACCTTATGCCTCTCTTTTACCTCTTCTTTACCCCCCCCTCCTCTCCTCTCTCTCTCTCTCTCTCTCTCTCTTCCTCTTACTTTTCTTGACGTTTCCGCTTATTTTCGTATCTAATGATATGAGGTTTCTTCTTCTCTTTTCTTCTTTTCCCCTATTCTATGTCTCTTTTCC